ACATAGGAGAGTGTTGAACAAACTGTAGGACATCCACACAGTGGAGTATTGTGCAGCTATACTAAAAGATGAGGAAGGAAGAACCAATAAAGCATTTCTAGGAAATACTGTTACATGAAAAAAGCAAAGCCCAAAAGCATATGTTCCCCTTCATGTAAGAAGGTTCACTAGGTGCCAATTTATTATATTGGTTCTCATCTATAAATTTATGCTGTTTGCCTGCTCTGTAAAAATGGGTGTTGGCCCTTTACGTTATTTTTCTTTTACCAGCTGCCACAGTATTAAGCTTTGTCAGTAAACAGCAAGTAAATGGTCAGTAAAGGAGAGACTTTACAGGAGGAAAGAATTTTGCTTCCTGGTCCCATGTGCTGGCTCAGCAGGGTCCTGTCACACGCACAGCTTCCCCGTGCCAGCTCCTGCGGTACCCGGCAGTCAGTAGCACCCGTGGCCCAGCAGCTTTCCCTGCCACTCCTCTCACCTTGACACCTCCCCTGAACAGCTTTTCCTGGCACCCTTGAGGGCAGATTTCTAGCAGGTTCCCCATATGGAGCACCATAGCAACTCCTCTGCCATTAAGTGAGTCACAGCCAGGCCCTCTCCAGCAGCTCTGGATCTCAGTCCTGGGGGAAGAAGAGGGAGGCTTCCTTGGTACTCTTTCTCAGCCCAAGGGATAAGGTGCTCCTTATATCTGCTATTCCTGTGTTCTCTAGAGTTCTCTTTTCTTTTTACTTGCTGATCCCTCACTGTTCCAGTCTTCTGTTAACGTTAATAATTCTTTAGGTTAAGCTTTCTCTGTTCAAATTACTGTTGTTGTTTTTGTGAGTAAGATCAGCCCTGAGCTAACATCGGATGCTGATCCTCCTGTTTTGTTTTTATTTTGCCGAGGAAGACTGGCCCTGAGTTAACATCCGTGCCCATCTTCCTCTACTTTGTATGGGACGCCACCACAGCATGGTGTGACAAGCGGTGCATCGTGCAAGCTCGCTTGGAATCCGAACCTTCGCACTCCGGGCCACTAAGTGGAGCACACGCACTTAAATGCTTGTGCCACCGGGCCGGCCCCCAAATTACTGTTTAGTTTTTTTCTCCTAATTGAATTCAGACCAATAGAGAAAGGGATATAAGAAAATACACAGATATCAGCTTATTTGAACAAAAGAAATGGAAAGGATAAACCAGAACTATAGAGATTGGTTGCCAACAGGGGGTGGTGGGAAAGAGAAGGAGGGAAAGGGAACAGGTTAGTAGAGACAAAGAGAGAGTGACATTCTCTAACTGACTCTTAGGACCATAGGAATGTTTCACGTATCTTTGACACAGGGCAAAAGTAATCAGTTAAAACCAACCAGGATGTGGGTGGTGGAACCCAAAATAGGATACAAAAACTAACAAATGAGCCTAACTGTTACAAATGAGTAACAACAACACTGGAGAGAATAGGGTAGGAAGAACTAACCTAAGTCTGTGCAAAAGCATATCTTGATTCAGTGTTACAAGGCTGAAGACAAAAAGTACTGTTCATGAGTTAGTGTTTCTCACAGAAGTGTAGATTAGCAATTCTGAAACTATATTTTCTAGAATTGAACAAATAAGTTAGTAGATTATAGATAATAGGAGCTGGGTGTCTTACTTGTGGAGAAAAACAAGGAAAGGTTGAAGGCTAAACTGAATCCTGTGATTTTACTTGGGGATTAGAAGTATCAGTATAAACTCATGGTTTTAAATATATGACAGATAGGAACATACAGAAATACAGATATTTGTACATTTGTGGGTTAGTATACCTATGTATGTTTCCTGCCTCTCTCTGCTGAGGGGCCTAGAAGCTGTGACTGCAATAACAGTGAGAACACCTAGTGCCTGGTACTGGTCTGTTACACACCTCTCCCAATAAAGGAACTGGGGCTCTTAGGAGAAATGGTTGATTCCAGGGCTGAGATAGGGAAATACAGGATGAGCCTTGAGCATCTTATGGTACCAGAAAATAAGGAAATGCTCAAAAGAAGGATGAGGGCTTGTTGAAAGTACAGGAGCCAACATGAAGGAGCTCCTAATGGCCAAAGCTAGAACAATTTGAACAACAAACTAATAATAGTATTAGATTTTAACCTGTAGAATAAATAAATGTCTATGAGTTCATACTAATATAAGTGATCAAATAAATAAATGGGAGGAAAGAGACAGGTCTTCCTCATAATATCAATGAAGAAATGTATGAGAGACATAGAGAGTCACCATTAGGTATACAGCACAGTAATAAATGTTGCAGACAAAATTACTTTCGAATGCTAAAATTCCTGGGTGAAAGTTTGAGGAGAAATAAAATTTGTGTAGTTTCAAAGTATCTTCCCTCAAATACTTATCAAGTACAAAGGAAAAGAAAGTATCTTTCTAGTGTAGGAACCTGGCAGACAGGAACTTTTCCAAGGTAAACACTGCCAGTAATAAGACATATTAATATTAACATCATGTACCTCTTAATGTGATACAGTGAGGACATCATTCTTGTGGTATTCTTGCCAAAAATGCATAAGCTTACTCTAATCATGAGGAAACAGCAGTCAGACCCAAATTGAAGACATTCCACAAAATAACTGTTAGAGCTCTTTAAAGTGTCAGGGTCCTGAAGTACAACGAGAGACTGTGGAACTGCAAAAGATTGGAGAGGAAAGGAGAAATAAGAAAGCAATGTGGTGTCCTGCATAGGATCCTGGGATAGAAAAAAGGGCATTAAATTTAAAAATTTGTGAAATTCAAGAAAAGTCTATAGTTAATAACACTGTATTAATGTTAATTTTCTGGTCTTGATAATTATTCTGTGATCACGTGAGATGTTAACATCCGGAAAGCCAGGTGAGAGAGATAAGAGAATTCTTCATGCTATTTTTGCAGCATCTCTTTAAGTCTAAAACAAAATTAGCTCAAAATAAAAAGTTAAGTATTAAAGATGCTTTGGAAGACCCAATAAAGAATATTGAAGTGGTTTCTTTTGTGTATGTGTGAGGAAGATCAGCCCTGAACTAACAACCGATGCCAATCCTCCTCTTTTTCTTGAGGAAGACCTGGCCTGGGCTAACATCTGTGCCCATCTTCCTCCACTTTATATGGGATGCCGCCACAGCATGGCCTGACAAGCAGTGCTTCGGTGCGTGTCCGGGATCGGAACCTGCGAACCCGGGCTGCCGCAGCGGAGCGAGTGCACTTAGCCACTTCAAGAATATTGAAGTTTGATTTTTCTTGTGTCTATAACAGGGTTAGAAAGAAGCTCCTAGAACATCGAGAAGAAACCATAACAATAGATCGGGTCTGCAGACAAGAAACGTTTGCTTACGAGATGGTGAGAGTCTCATCTTTTTCACCTTTTCCCAGAAAACAGTAAACTCTCCAGCACTGGGTGAGTGTTAATGATGACTAGATGGTGGCTCTGTATTGGATGTGCTTAGGTGAAAACAAACTAGAGAAACTTCATTGGGACTGGCAACTGGTAGGGGAAAAAGACCTACAGAATTCAAGTGGTGGCATGTTTGACTCTTTCAGATCTCTGCCTTCATTTTTGCTTTTAGTTTGGTTTTACTCTCTGTATTAGGCTAAATTCATGCATTTTCACCACCCTATTCCTGGTATTTTTATTCTACTCCTGATTTTTGTTAACCACATTCTTTCCTAATCCATCATCTCTTAATGTAAACCCTCAGAAAAATTCAAGATGATGAGTGATGAGGAATTAAGTGTTAGTAGACATGATCAGTTCATTCAGTATGTATTCTTGAGAACCTACTATGTGTCAGATGCTGTGTTGGGCACTTGATAGTGCATAAGGGCATCTGTTGTCGCTCCCATTTTTTTTTTTATTGTGGTAAAATTGAAATAACATGAAATTTACCTTTTTAACCATTTTCAAATGTTCACTAAAATGGCGGTAAGTACATTTACTGTGCTATGTATCCATCACCACTATTTCTAGAACGTTTTCATCATCCTGAACAGAAATTCTATACTAATTAAGCAATAACTCCCCATTTTCCCTTCTCCCAACCTTTGGTAAAACCTTTATTCTACTTTCTGTCTCCAACAATTTGTCTGTTGTAGATCCCTCATGTAAGTGGAATCATGTAATATTTGTCCTTCTGTGTCTAACTTATTTTACTTAGTATAATGGTTTAAAGGATCGTGCTGTAGCATGTATCAGGACTTCATTCCTTTTTATGGCTGAATAATATTCCATTGTATGGATAGCTCATTTTGTTTATCTATTCATGTGTGGATGTACATTTGGGTTATTTTCACCTTTTGGCAGTTGTAAATAACGCTGCTATGAACATTAGTGTACAAGTATCTGAGTCTGTTTTCTGTTCTTTTTAGTATATACCTAGGAGTGGAATTGCTCGATCACATGATAATTCTAGGTTTAACATTTTGAGGAACCAGCAAACTGTTTTCCACAGCCGCTACGTCATTTTACATTCCCCCCACTAATGCACCAAGGTTCCAGTTTCTCCACATCCTTGTCAACATTTATTTTCTGGTTTTTGATAATAGCCATCCTAGTAGGTGTGAAGTGGTATGTCATTATGGTTTTGCATTTCCCTAATGATTAGTGATGTTGAGCATCTTTTCATGTACTCACTGGTCATTCATATATCTTCTTTGGAGAAATGTCTATTCAAGTCCTTTACCAATTTTTTACTTGGGTTGTTTGTCTCTATTATTTTGTTTTAAGAGGTCTTTGTATATTCTGGATACTAGATCTTACCACATATATGATTTTAAAATATTTTCTCCCATTCTTTTTTTTTTTTTTGTGAAGGAGATCAGCCCTGAGCTAACATCCATGCCAATCTTCCTCATTTTGCTGAGGAAGACTGGCCCTGGGCTAACATCTGTGCCCATCTTCCTCCACTTTATATGGGACACTGCCACATTATGGCCTGACAAGCAGTGCATCGGTGCACGCCGGGGATCCGAACCTGGGCCGCCAGCAATGGAGCGTGCGCAATTAACCGCTATGCCACAGGGCCAGCCCCCTTTTCTCCCTTCTGTGGGTTGTCTTTTCACTCTCTTGATAATGTCTTTTTTTTTTTTTTTTTAAAGATTTTATTTATTTATTTTTTCCCCCCCAAAGCCCCAGTAGATAGTTGTATGTCATAGCTGCACATCCTTCTAGTCGCTGTATGCGGGACACGGCCTCAGCATGGCCGGAGAAGCGGTGCGCGTCCGGGATCCGAACCCAGGCCGCCAGCAGCGGAGCGCGAGCACTTAACCACTAAGCCACAGGGCCGGCCCTGTCTTTTGATGTACAGAAGTTTTAAAGTTTGATGAAGTTCAATTTATCTGTTTTTTTTCTTTTGTTGTCTTTGCGTTTCATGTCATACTTAAGAAGCTGTCACCAAATCCAATGTTTTTTGTTTTGTTTTGTTTTTTTGTGTGTGAGGAGATCAGCCCTGTGCTAACATCTGCCAGTCCTCCTCTTTTTTTTTGCTGAGGAAGACTGGCCCTGGGCTAACATCTGTGCCCATCTTCCTCCTCTTTATATGGGACGCAGCCACAGCATGGCTTGCCAAGCTGTGCGTCAGTGCACGCCCGGGATCCGAACCGGCGAACCCCGGGCCGCCGCAGCGGAACGTGTGCACTTAACTGCTTGCGCCACTGGGCTGGCCCCACCAAATCCAATGTTATGAAGATTTTTCCCTATGTTTTCTTCTAAGAGTTGTATAGTTTTTAGCTCTCAGTTTAAGTCTTTGATCCATTTAGAGTTCATTTTTATGTATAAGGTAAAGGTTCAACTTCATTCTTTTGCATTTGGATATCCAGTTTTCCTAGCACCATTTGTTGAAGACTGTCCTTTCCCTATTAATTGGTCTTGGCACCTTTGGTGACCATATAAGGTTTATATCTGAGTTCTCTATTCTATTCCATTGGTCTATGTGTCTATCCTTATCCTTGAAATAATGATGTGTTTTTTTCTATCATTCTGTTATTGTAGTGTAGTATATTGATTGATTTGCATGTGTTGAACGACCCTTGCATCCTGAGGCTAAATCCCACTTGGTTGTGGTATGTAATCTTTTTAATATGCTGCTGAGTTTGGTTTGCTAGTATTTCGTTGAGGGGTTTTGCATTTATATTCATAGGGGATGTTGGTTTGTAGTTTTCTTGTAGTGTCTTTCTCTGGCTTTGGTATCAGAGTATGCTGATCTCAGAATGAGTTAGAAAGTATTCCCTCCTCTTCAGACTTTTTGGAAGACTTTGAGAAGGATTGGTGTTAATTATTCTTTCACTGTTTGGTAGGATTCACCGGTGAAGCCATCTAGTCCTGGGCTTTTCCTTGTTAGGAGGTTTTTAATTACTGATTCAGTCTTCTTACTTGTTATAGGTCTATTCAAATTTTCTATTTCTTCTTGAGTCAGTTTTGATTGTTACCTTTCTTCTGCTGGCTTTGGGTTTAGTTTGTTTGCTTTTCTTTCTCTAGTTCCTTGGTGTGTACAGTTAGGTTATTGATTTGAGATTGTTGTTTTTTAATATAGGTGTTTACAGCTATAAGTTTTCCTCTATGTACTGCTTTTGCTGTATCTCATGTTTCTTATGTTGTGTTTTCATTTTCGTCTCAAGATATTTTCTAATTTCCTTTGTGATTTCTTTTTTGACCGATTGGTTGTTTAAGAGTGTGTTGTTTAATTTCCACATATCTGAATTTCTCAGATTTCCTCCTGTTACTGATTTCTAGTTTCATTGAATTGTGATCAGAAAAGATAATTTTTATGATTTCAATCTTTTTTAAATTTATTAAGACTCGGTGATCTATCCTAGAGAATGGTCCGTGTGCACTTGAGAAGAATGTATTCTGTGTTGTTGGATGGAGTGTTCTGTGTATAGATGGTCCCTGACTTACAATGGTTCGATTTAACAATTTTTTAGCTTTACAATGGTGTGAAAGTGATATACATTCAGTAGAAACCTGCAAACTTTGTACTTCAAGTTAGTACTTCAGATTTTGAAGTTTGATTTTTTTCTTGGGCTAGTGATATTCAGTATGATACTCTCTCATGATGCTGGGCAGTGGCAGTGAGCCGCAGCTCCCGGTCAGCTACACGATTACAAGGGTGAACCACCAATACACTGACAACCATTCTGTGCACATACAGCCATTCTCCTTTTCACTTTTGTTATAATATTCAATAAATTACATGAAATATTCAACACTTTATTATAAAATAGGCTTTGTGAGATACTCAACATTTTATTATAAAATAGGCTTTGTGTTAGATGATTTTGCCAACTGGTTAATGTAAGTGTTCTGAGCATGTTTAAGATAGGCTAGGCTAAGCTATGATGTTTGGTAGGTTGGATGTATTAAATGCAGTTTTGACTTAAGATATTTTCAACATATGTTGGGTTTATTGGGATGTAACCTCATCGTAAGGTAAGGAAGATCTGTATGTCTGTAGGTCTCATTGGTTTATAGTGTTGTTCAAGTCTTCTCTTTCCTTATTAATTTTCTATCTGGTTGTTCTACTAATTCTTGAAAGTGGGCTATTGAAGTCTCCAACTATTATTGTAGAACTGTCTATTTCTCCCTTCAATTCTGTCAATTTTTCTTTATATATTTTGGGGTTCTGTTGTTAGCTGCATATATGTTTATAATTAATGTATCTTCTTGTTGGATTGCACCTTTTATTAACATATAATGTCGTTTTTTGTCTCTTGTAACATTTTTTTTTTCTTTTTGCTGAGGAAGATTTGCCCTGAGCTAACATCTGTTGCCAATCTTCCCCTTTGTTTACTTGAGGAAGATTAGCTCTGAGCTAACATCTTTGCCAATCTTCCTCCATTTTTGTATGTGGGTCACCACCACAGCATGGCCGAGGAGTGGTGTAGTTCCGCTGGCGGGATCCAAACCTGCGAACCCAGGACACCGAAGCGGAGTGCGTGGAACCCACCCACTACACTCCAGCCCCTCATGTAACCTTTTTTGACTTAAAGTCTATTTTGTCTGACACTAATATAGCCATCCCAGCCATCCAACACCCCTTTTTGTTACTATTTGGGTGGAATGTCTTTTTGTATTCTTTTAGTTGCAACCTCTTTGTATCTTCATATCTAAAGTCTCTAGTAGAAAGTGTATAGATAGATCCAAGTTTTTTATCCAATCTGCCACTCTTTTGCCTTTTTAATAGGAGAGTTTAGTCCATTTATGTAATTACTGATAAGGATTTACTTCTGCCATTTAGCTATTTGTACGTATATATTTCTTTTGTTCCTCAATTCCTCCATTACTGCCTTTTTCTGTATTTAGTTGAATTTTTATGGTGTATTGTTTTGTTTTCCATCTTCTTTCCTTCTGTATATGTTCTACTTATTTTCTTAGTGGTTACCTTGGGGATTATAATGAACATCTTAAAATTGTAACAATCTAGTTTTAATAATACCAGCTTTATTTCAGTAGTATCGTGAAGGATAGATATTTGGCTCCTATACATGTACTCCTCCTCCTTTATATTGTTATGGTCACAGATTACATCTTTATATATTGTGTCTGTTAAAATAAATTTATAAATATTGTTTCATGCATTTGCTTTTGGAGACAAAGAAGTTACAAACCGAATGTATAGTGACTCTGGATTTTATATATACCTAGTAGTTACTGTTGCCAGTGTTCTTTATTTCTTCATATGAGTTCAAGTTACTGTCTAGTGTCTTTTCGTTTCAGCCTGAAGAATTGTCTTTAGTATTTTTTATAGGGCAAGTCTACTGGTAATGAACTCCCTCGGCTTTTGTTTATCTGAAAATGTCTTAATTTCCCCTTCGTTCCTGAAGGATAGTTATGCCGGTTATAGAATTCTTGGTTGACAATTTTTTTCTTTCATGCCTTTCAATATGTCAAACCACTGCCTTCTTGACTCTGTGGTTTCTGGTGAGAAATCAGGTGTTAATCTAATTTCAATGTCTGGGTATCTTCAGGGGTGGTTTCTGTCAGATTCTTTTTTTCTTGTGAATGGGCTGGATTTTCCTGTTTCTTTGTGTGTTTTATAAGTTTTTGTTGAGGACTGGACATTCTGAGTATGTTTTTTACTTGCTGAGGCCTGGTGCTGTCTGTGACTTTTCCTAAGTATTGTTCCAATGTGTGTATTCCTTGTTGTGTACAGTCACTGATGTTTCTGTTTCATTATCTCTCTGGTCAGCCAGTGATCTGACCAAGATTTCCTTAAGTGTCTGCCTCCCCAAATGAAAAAAAGGGTCCTGTCCCTTTAAATTTTCCAATAGCTGCTGCTGGGGGAAGCCACTGCTGACAAGAGGGCCAAAACCAAGGCAGGTATGTGCTCCAGGCCCTCAGGGCAATACCAGACCACCCAAAACACACAACTCCCGATTTTTGGAGAACAAGGTCCCCACTGCCTGTCCTGGCATCAGCCATCTGTTCCAGGGACACGGGCTGCTATCTCCACACCTGTGACAGGGCTGAGGAATGGAGGATGGTAGTTGGTTTGCACCCTCTGCTTACTTATGAAAGACCAGAACCTGTGCCTTCATCAAGCACTGCCCTGGTTGATACATGTGTCTGATCAGGTTCAGAGTTCCAAAGTAGTTGATTCCGATCTCTTTCCATCTTATTGGTTGCTTTGGTGGAGGGACTGATCCCTAAACCTTCCTACTCTGCCATTTTGCGTGACATCACTTCCACTTATTTTTAAAACATCTTTTGCACCTTCTTATCTAGTCCATCCTGGTGGCCCCTATTTTATAGTTATTAAGCACATAGGAAGGAGGTGTAATGTATTAAAGATGTGACAATGTTGTAAAAAGCAAAGGTTTTATTTAGAGTCAAACAGATCTGTATTTGCATCCTAACTCACTGATTTACCTTGAGTAAATCTGAACCTCTGAGCTTCATCTGTCAAAAATATGTCATAATAATATGAAAGGAGGTATGCAAAAGTGTTATAAGTGCCAATGTTATACCAACATTAGTTGATATTTCTGTTTTATTGTCAGTTGCTAAGCACTTAGTGCCAAACATCTTATTAGA